AAGGGGGGGGGGGGAGCCGTATTTTTTTGGGCGAGCTTTGGCTCGGCTCGGCTCGGGCCCAAAAAAGCCCGTTGTGATTTACTCGAGCCGAGCTCGAGCCCAAAATTTCGGCTCGCGAGCCGGCTCGACTCGACTCGTTTACATCCCTAGGTTCTTGTAAGACAACATGACCCTAACAGGCCAAGCCATATCGATCTGTTCTATCGTCACGTTATCTCATTGTTTGGGCCATTGAACTCAACCCAAGCATTAATATATTCTGCCCATTTCACATATCAACATGCACAAATGTAAAATTTCCAGAATTAAATGTACAATAATAGATACAATATTGTTAAGGTTAATGTCTACATGATTTCAAATAGGGTCATTGAATTCAGGGTCCCTACACGTATCAAATTCAATAGGACGAAGAAAGTTTTTCTTTGTGAATCGGGAATTCGATTTGAGTTTTGTGGTTTTGATAGTTCAACATATTAATTACGTGGTTAAATGATTTAATTAATTAATAGGATATTATTCAAATTAATAATCATGCTATATAGATATAATGGTTGACATAATCTTTAACATAATGTCACATGACAACTTATCATTGACTGTTTAAAATACAATCAACTTTTTTAATCAATCACATCTTGCCAACACTTATTATGTCAATCATTATGTTACCTACTTTCTGGCAAAGTAACATTATTCTCTAACTAGTTACTTTTGAGGGATAGTGGGCCTAATTTATACCATAAAGTTTAGCCCAATAAGATGACTAGCATTTACGACCCAATTAAACCAAAACCCTGAAATAGGCCCATTACATAAAATGAACCCTAGACCTATAAACTCAGCAAACAGATCGGTTGCTTTACTTTTTCGAAGTCGTCGCCCAGCTCCGACGCCACACCGCACCTTTCTCAGCCGCCGGTAATCTCTTGCGTCGCTGATCTCGTTATAGTAACATTCTTTTCATATTTGTTAATTTAGGTTTGATTTCCTTTCAGTAGCGTAAAACAGTATTTATCCCCGCCCGTACTGCAGAAGAAAAGAAAAGGTAAATAATGGCGTACGCAGCAGTGAAGCCGACGAAACCTGGATTGGAGGAGCCACAGGAAACGATTCACAAGATCCGTATCACTCTTTCCTCCAAAAATGTTAAGAATCTCGAGAAAGGTATGCTGTCATGGTCTAATGTGATTGAATTCTTCGGTCATATTCTTCTAATTATCTCATCACAACAGTTACTCTTATGGAGGATGCTATTTTTGTTGTAAATTCGCATTCACTTAATCTTAGTTAATTTTCTACTGTAGTTCGGTCAGTGATTTTTGTGTTTTTCTCAAGCGGCGTTTGACCATATTCATTTTGTTACTATATCAGTTCTTTTCTCATTGGTTTATTTTAGTTCAAGAGTAGGAGCATATGAAAAACAGAAAAAGTAACGTTGAAAAATTTTAGTAAAACGAGCATCTTGAAACTAAAATGTATCTAATCCCACGTGTTGCTATTTTAGTGATCCATAGAACATTACTCAATTCCGTGGGTAGTCCTAAATTGATCCATGGGTATTGCAATTGGTTGGATGGATGGCAATTGTTGTGCTAATGGGATTGTCCCTAGAACTTTGGGAAATGTGTTATACAATTTTTTGGGTTTTGCTACGCCCCCGTTCATCCAGGGCTGGACAAATAGCAAAACCCCAATTTTTTTGGACTTTATCATTTGCTTTAAGTAGGATTACAATAAAAACTTTTTTCTAAGATATTATTAGTTATTATTAAATTGATGTTTGGTTGACCTGAATCTTATTTATAGTGTGTGCTGATTTGGTACGTGGTGCCAAGGACAAGAGGCTTAGGGTCAAGGGACCAGTGAGAATGCCTACCAAGGTTCTTCACATTACTACTCGAAAGTCTCCTTGTGGTGAAGGTATTATACGTGGTGCATTTATAAGAATTGTTTCATTTATATGAAACTTAGCTGTGATTTGTTGTGTATAACTGCTAGAACAGTAGAGAGTTTATTCATTTTGGAACTGCCTTTTGTTGATGAATTGTTTGCAACGCATCATATGATTTAGCCCGTTTGGAAAAGCTAATTTATATCTGGTACTGGTATGGTGTTTTTTCTTATTGATATGTTAGATTGTAGTGAGGTACAAATATCATTTTGCCTGTTGGTGTTGTGTGCTAGAAAAGTTTGACTTCACATTTTTTTTTTTCTAATGCTTTTCTTGTTAATTCTGAAAACCAAATAATTCTAGGACATGTGGGTTGTTGAATTCCAATCTCAATGTCCATAGAAATTTTGAAAAGTTTTTGATTTTGAATTATTTCTTTTTTTTCCTTGTCTGCTATAAAGGTTCGCTCTTTGGAGACCACTTTGTTTCTGTTTTCAGTTTCGAGATTATTGCTATTTTTCTCAGTATGAGGGGTGTTGCTGATTGTTTCACTAGGGTAATCTGGTTTTCGTTTAGCTTTGCTCTGGGTAATTATATGCTCATGTTTTATTTCATGGTTTTTGTTTTTTTAAAATTCACCCTTTATATTACTCCCTCCGTTCCATAAAGATAGTCTTGCTTTCCTTTTTCATATTTTCCAAATTATAGACCACTTTTCTTGTTAAGAGTAAAGTTAATTTCTTAATTTTCTAATATATAACATGTCTTGTTATTAACAAATATGAACTGCGCTTATTTAAAATATTATTTAATATAGGGGTATATTGGGAAAAATGTAAGTAAAATTAATGAACCCGTTTGATTCCCATTTTTCTAATAATAAGAATGAAAAATATAATCGTTACGAGACCCACATAATTATTTCATGGTTTTTGTTTTTTTAAAATTCACCCTTTATATTACTCCCTCCGTTCCATAAAGATAGTCTTGCTTTCCTTTTTCATATTTTCCAAATTATAGACCACTTTTCTTGTTAAGAGTAAAGTTAATTTCTTAATTTTCTAATATATAACATGTCTTGTTATTAACAAATATGAACTGCGCTTATTTAAAATATTATTTAATATAGGGGTATATTGGGAAAAATGTAAGTAAAATTAATGAACCCGTTTGATTCCCATTTTTCTAATAATAAGAATGAAAAATATAATCGTTACGAGACCCACATAAGAGATAGAAAGTTAAATATGGTGGCTTGATATGATGGATAACGGTCATATTTTTCATTTTTGTGACCAAAGAATGGGAATTGAACGGGCCCTATATTTTCAATGGAAGCAAATCTGTATGGGGACGTCTGGAGTATAATCTTATTGCAACTGAAGTTGTCTAGATAGATAAATAATTGCATGATTAATGTGGGGAAATGTGATGAAGTGTCATGACATCCGAGTATATTTGTAATACCATAAATTCTGAACTCCCATTCTGCCTTGATACCATTGGTAACAAGATCTGAATTATTTATTTACTTATTTATTTTTGGTGCAATTGTTATTTGAAGGTACCAACACATGGGATAGATTTGAACTCCGAGTTCACAAGCGAGTGATTGACCTGTTCAGCTCCCCTGATGTGGTTAAGCAGATTACTTCTATTACTATTGAACCAGGTGTCGAGGTTGAGGTTACCATTGCCGATTCTTAGATTTCCTTACTTCTTATCCGCATTTCCATCTTTTGTTCACATATTGTTATGAGCCCTGGGTGAAACTTGGAAATTGCTTTTCAATGTCTCCAGCTAATGGGCTCTAAGTCTTGTAGCAAAGTTGTCGTAGGAGTTTTGCTATTTAAGTGCTGTTGAGTTAAAAGACTGATTCGAGGAAAGGATAGCTTGGTTTATTTTTTCATATACCTTTTAACATACTCGAATGCACTTCTTATGAGATCCAGTCATTGCATTGTGTACTAAACATGCATGTCATGTATACTTCTGTTTGATTTGATTTGGTTTGGTTTGGACATTTTTGGCCTACTTTGACATTAAACTATTTACAATGGTTTGGAAATATTACATGGCTTTCAGACAAGCTGTACTACGCTGTTAAAAATTCGTACGTATATTCTTAAAGGCTTTTGCTTCAACCTTGTACGAACCAAGATTTACTTTATGACTCGAATTTTAGTTAATTTTTAGAGAATATAGCATTAGTTTCGATATAAAACTGGTGGTGCTATATTAATGGTGTTTGATGGCCATTACTGAGTAGTGATTTTTTAGAAAATGTGTAGTTAGAAAGTAAGTAAAATTTTGGATTTATATGTAAAATATTTTATTGTCTGAATGTGTGATTAAAATGAGTATAAAAATTAAAGAGTTGCGTTTTAAAGAGAAACAAAATAGGGGCATTTAGGTATTGTTTAAGCGTGATCTTTATCTTTACGTGACATCCATTAGAATAATATTATTTGTGCTGAATGAGAATCATTCACATGTGATATGGTGTGAAATGAAAATGCTAATTAAATGTATGGATAAAAGATCCATTAATAGAGATAATTGTTAATATTTGGTTCTTTTGATCAGAGATTTTGACCAACAACAAATAAAATGTGCAGAAATAAAAATACGAAATTATAACGTAGAGCATAGGGTTTTTCGTCTTAAGGCAAGAGGTTCAGAATATAAAATGTTCCTAATAAGATTATATCATAAAACCTTTCGATCCATACATTTACGTTCACTGAAAAACAGAAAACTCAATTAGATTTACAAGTCACTAAAGAGACGTAAAGAGTATTTGAGAGAGTCTCGAACTCGAAAGGTAGAGAGAAAAATAAATCGTCCATCAAACCTTAGGCAGAGAAGTGTGTATATAAGAAGTCGTCAGAAGGTCACGCATCTAATGACCATTAGGGCGATACTTGGCATCATCTCACGCATAAGAAGAATCAATTAAAGAAGACGCATTTCCAAATTAAAAACGCAGAGTTGCAAGTAAGAGTCAAATGATCTGGTCAATGGTTCAACTAATCAATCCAGTCAGCATCCTTTTTTTTTTTTTTTTTTTTAATTCCACATCATTGTGCCACAATCTCCACTAACATAATATGACATTAAATGAAAAGATCAATTAAGTAGATTTTTTTGCATGTAATTAACTAGTCTTATCATTTCATGTTTACATGACCCGTCACATTATATGGTGATATCTCTAATAAAATTGAATAATATTACTCTTTTTCATTTATTATTTAATACCGCTTTACTAAAACGAGCAGCATTAATCACTCAGAACGTTAGCAACAATAGCAGTATATAAAAAGATACTCACAGGAATCCTTGGTCATTAGGCCCTTCGTTGAATTTGCTGAAAGTTAGATTTTTTGTAAATTTTAATAAAAATTGATGAAATGTGTGGTTTAAAAATTAATGAAAATGGTGAGTATAGTGAAATATGTAAATGAATATGAATTTGAGAGTAATAAATTGAAAAAAGAAAAGAAAAAGGGAGTAATATAGCTAGCAACAGTTGGAAGATTGATCTAAAGTCAATTAAGTACAAGAATTAGTTGCATATTAGTATTGCAATAAGAGATTTTGAATCAATCACGTTAAAATTGGATAAATAATGCTATTCTTTTCATGCAGGAACGAGCCATCCAGCAAAGTTCGTAGATTAAAGTTCTTGAGCCCACTATTTTTGTGGCTGAATTTCATCGTTTAGACTTTAAAATTGCTAGAAGAGCACCTTTTTTACCATGAGTTACATTGATAGATTGTCGCAAAAGACAAGGAGTTTTGTTGATTCTAAATCTAGTATTGAGAAACCGTGCGATACGAATCTTTTTGCTCTTTTCAAAGTTCAATCCCAATTTTTAAAACATTGATTTAGAGAAGAATTATGATATGCGACCATTTTTGAAATGGAGGTTGACACGGATGTGATGAAAGAGTCGGTAGAGGAACCGAAAGTGGTAATGGACATTGGTGGTATACTTATATCAACAATAAGTGTTTGTGGTATTGTAATTTTGAATAGTTCGACGAAAACGTATATGGGTTATATTCAAAATATATAATTGACAAATGTTCTCGAACAAGCTAGCGATAAGAGTTGGGAATGTTGATGATGGGAAAATAGTCAATATTACATATTTCATTGTGAATCATATCAAATCGGGAGAGTATGATGTAATGAGAGACTTTTGACCTAATCAATTGTATTGGAATTGAATAAATAACTCCATTTTCTATCTAGTTTTTTGGCCAAATCCCATCTTCTAGGCTTTCAAATTGACACCTTTTGATTTTGGCTGAAATTAATTAGTAATTATTTATTGCAAAAAAAAATTTATTCCATATTTAAGCTCTCGATTGACAAATCATTATTTCAAAACCCTTTTTAACATAACTCATTTTCAACTACACGTTCACACAATAAATTATTTTACACATAAATTGAATTTTTTTTTTTTTAGAAGAGGAAGCTAGGAATTTTTATTTTTTTTATTTTTTTAATTTATTATTATTATTATTATTTTTGGCTCAATCGATATGCCGACATTTCATGTGATTCGAAGAGACTGATTTTGTTTTTCATATATTCTCACGCCTTTTGAGTACATTACTTAAACTAGTAATGGATTTACAGTAATTGCAAGTGATTTACATAGAAGTGCTCACCATAATAAGAATTGGCATTGCTGCAGTTCTACTGAAAAGCGAAAGAGTCGATGAACTTTTCTGAAAACCGAAAAGAAGTTCGTCAAAAAAAAAAAATAGGGCCTCTTAGAATTGACATGACTTGCTACCTATTCTCGCCACTCATAGGTCTTTTCACTTGTAGCAAAAAAAAAAAATAATAATAATAATAAATAAATAAAAATAATTTTAATCGAACTATAATATTTTCTCTGTTCCACAAAGATAGATTATTTACTTTCAATTTCATACAAATTAAAAAATATAATTAATATCATTGTAAACATAAATTTTACTTACATCTTTTGAATGTAACCTTACGGTAGATAATGATTTAAATAGCAACGATTCATAGTTGTTTATAACAATGCATATTAAATGAGGGTATATTAGAAAACTAAAAAATTAACTATACTTTTAATAAGGAAAGTGATTAGTATAATTTGGCACAAACTAAAAGGAAAGTAAATAATAAATATTCCATCAATCTCATTTATATAGACTGATTTTGTTTTTGGCGCAGATTAAGAAATTTTATTTAATTAGACAAATTAAATAAAGTTATATTAGTAAATGAACAAAACAAATACTTTCTCAATAAAGTAACGGGACTATATAAATAAGACAAGAAAATAAAAAAAAAAGTCGGCTTATATAGATGGGATGGAGGAGTATTTAGGTATGAGACGAGCATTTGGTATTGAAAAGTTCATTAATTACTCTTTTATGCTCCCTCCGTTCCAATTATATAGATTGAGTTTCTTTTTTCTTTAGTCCCAGGTATATAGGCATGTTTCATAATTTAAAATATTTTGTTTTGTTCCTTTACCAATATACCCTTATTCAATTTTTCACACTCAATATGCCAACTTCTTGAAATCATTCAAATACATACATTTTTCACTTCTTGAAAATATGGAATAACTCTCATTTCTTCTTCTTCAAATTAAATCATTCAAATTCTTTACTAATTCTAACAATAATTTACTACAACATAGTGAAGATTAAATAGGGGTAAATTAGGAAAATTTTGACAAAAATTAATTTTTTAATGACATTAAAGAAGATTTTTTAATTTGCGTGAAAAACGAAGCAAGCTTATGTAATTGGATTGGAGGTAGTAACTGTTTTCACTTTGATCATAATGAGTCAACGACACGTCTAATTGAAATGAAATAAAATAAAGCAGATTCCCCAAAAGCAACACCAATTATTCATCAAAATTATGCTTTTGATTTTGCTAAAAACTAAGCGAATGCTCTTTCTAATCCGCTTTAATCATTGATTTTTGCATTATTAATTGAAATATAATAATAAACCATGTCTTGGGATAAGATAAGCTTGTTTTTGTTTACTCACTTTATTCTGCTTAATGATGATACCATAATTAACTTTTAATTGCTTGTGATTTGTTAGTTAAGCCAAACAAGAAATAAGAAAAATGCCCATGCAATTCTAATATGAGTAATCAACAAATTGTAAGTGAGAGTAGAAATTTGAGATTTAAATTTTGGTTCTCGAAGAAATATAACTGATAAAATAATAAGTTACGAGAATCGGCTTTTTTATTAGTGAAATTGAAGTTGGAGGAATTTTATTTATTTATTTATTTTTATTTTTTTTAAGCGGCAATAGAGTAAAGTAGCTCATCGGTGCTTTTAAATACGATCAAATGTGCTAATAATCGTTTGAAAAGGGAAGCAATAAAATTAAGCTATTGGAGCTAGCGTAATGACACTGTGGTAAAGTTACGAAATAACAATAGTAACGCTATTTAATCGACCAGTCAATTTGTTATTGATCGCTGTCACATAATACCACTAGGGAGTGAATAACATTATTGAAATTGATACAGGTGTCACCTTCGTGGATTGCATAAAACCAGTGTTCTAAAAATCATAATGCGTGACAATGTGTGAAAGTCAAGTTTCGATCGATGCTAGCCTAAGCAAAGATTAGATGTAAAAAGGCATAAAAAACGATTTTAATATTATTTTAAATTTTAAGTCAATTTAAAAATTATTTAATAATACCTACAAATTATAGAAACAAATACAATTTTAAGAGTTTAATAAAATAAATACATTATTGAACAATAAACAATATATATTATAATAGTGCTAATTGAAATATATGGAAAAGTTTGGAATTTTTATTAATTAATAAAAGATAAAAAATGATTAATTAACCTAATAAAATATAAATAATTATTTATACAATAGTTCAATACACTACAACCAAACTACTAAAAGTACAATACACTACATCCAAACCAAAAGTATAATACATTATATCCAAACTAAAGGTACAATGTATTAC